TCTGAGTAAGTGCTCCTTTCTCTTCATCGCCGCCACCTGTTCCTGCGCCTCGCGTTGCAGCTGGAGCTGCCTTTGGTGCAGATTTAGGTGCTGTGGCTGAACGCTGTGGAGCTGAACATCAAGACCACATCCATCACCTTGCTATACATACTCATCAACCTGCCTTGAGGATAAGGGTCTATTATTCCAGCTTCAAACTGACTAATTGAATAAATTATTAAATGGTTTCATTTCATATATTGAAGCTGAAATAAAAAAAAGAAACTTAAAAATAATACTTTTTTTTTGTTGAATATTCTACCAACAAGTACCATAGACCCAAAAGAGAACTGCATGACTGTTCTTTTAAAAATGTGCAGTACTTGGAAATGTAGGAATCACCATAATGTAAGAAAAATGCCCAGAGGTGAAGCAACCTTGCAGACAATGTGCTTGAACTAAAACTCACAGTTCTCAATTTCTTACCAACAGGGGCCATTGGCTTGACTGCAGGTGTGATGCCTGTGTCTGAAGCGAAGAGACAAATCCATGCACAGGCAACGTAAGGCTCCAGTTATTCTCAAACATGTAAAAACAGCTAAAGCATGTACGACTGGGTCACACCCACATATTTTGGGGTCATAATCCATAACAGCTGCAGCTGTCATGCACCTGTTAGCATTAGGACAGCTAGCTTCCGACAATAACGCAAGTCCCTATATGAACTAGGACTATATAAATCCAGAAAGACTGACATGTTGATAATTATTTATAACAATGATAAACCATTATATAAATATTAGTAGGAGATTTATGTTATGCTCTTTTCCCATTAGGATAAACCTTAGAAAGGCTGCAATGGTATTGAGAACTTCCTGTTGGTTCTTTCTCTTTACCTGAGCTGGGTTTCTTTGGCTTGTTAGCTGTAGCTGCTGCTGGACTCTGACTGGTTGGCATTTCTTGTCCCTGCCGAGCTGCCATCGGATCATATTCCTTTCCATCATAATTTGCATCGAAGAACTTCTTAAACCATTGCACAAACTCAAAGTTATCCTGGAACTTGCCCTTCACAAGCTTGTCAACAGGAATAATCTGCACAGAGACATAAAATGTTTCAAAACAGCAAGTAAAAAAGTAGTTACACTTCACATATCGTACATTATAAATATATTTTGCGTAGCAAAATGGAACATGTGATTTGTGTGCTAATGAATTTAACTGGTTGACATACTTTGCTAACTCCCATCTTTTTGAAGCTGCCTTGAAGGAGTTTGAAGTTATGGATGTATTCGTGCTCAAGTTTGGCCTGGAATTTAACTTTCTTCAGTGGAATACATGATGGGAACAGCATGTCCATGAAATGACAGTAAGCAGCACCTTAAAACACATTAATAAAGACACAGTCAGCAAATAATAAAATAACATAACATAAAATCATTAAAAGTAGAAAAAAAGTCACGCAGGTCCCAACCTACACAAAAAAACACTTTCATTCTTCCTGCACTGTACTATCTTTGTCTATTCCCTCACTAAAATGTGCTAACCGCTGACCCAGATATTGAAAAAAGTAGCATGCAAATGGCAGTCAATCCAGGACCCACTATTATTATATAAATAATCTTTATGGTCAAAATGAAAATTAGGCTTTATGTTTAACTCTTAAAACTCTGTCAGCAATTTAATGGTGCTCAAGTTGGGTGTATGAAGTGAAGAGGACAGACAGCTGGTCACTGACCTGAGCACAGTTGCTCGATCTTGGCATGGTTCATCTGTAAAGACTCGTTTATCCATGTGAGCATGTCATGGCGGCTGAGGTTTTCACTTGTCACTGATGTGGAGTACACGTTCACAGCCATGGCTGGGACAAAAGCGATGCTTTAAAGCCGAAGACACTTTTCCGCTGAAGCTGCTGGATTGAGAGGGTGTGAAAAAAAAAGCCTCATTTAAAGTTAAAGCCTCATTTCCTTAAACACACATTCACACCCTTCAGCCCATCTACATCATCATTTTTACTTCCTACTTAATGGCACTTCAATGTGTGGCTGTATATTTATATCCATCTAAGAGTTTAAGGTCTGAATCGAGTAACGTTACTTACGGGATAAAAATATGATATTTATTTTAAAAAATGTTAGGTTTCCGATATAACGTTAACGTTCCTCTTTAACGTCAGTTAAAGTTTTCAACTAATCTGTCAGAATTTTTAATAGTGTATTCATATAAACAGTTCATGCTGAACTTATATATTGTAACCGTTGTTTTTAAATACTGAACATTTAAATCATAACATTAGATGACATGTGTAGTCCAAAACTACCAATAAAGTATTGTTTTTCTGTAAAGTAGTGTCTGTGTTCAAATCAATCAAATCAACGCCTTTATCTTACATTTGGTTCTGAAAGTCCAAACTATGTTGGGATGCGAGTGAAACGGGCTGCAGATTCACCGGCGTGCCGCTCGTAAAGTGCCGCTTCCTCAGCAGGCTGGAAAATAGGCTGTAAGCCTGAAACCACAGCAGTTTACAAACTATTCACAGATGTCAAAATAAAAGTCATCATAAACAGTTTGTTAACTACTTCAATCGGTCAAAATAAAAGTAATAAACAACAAAATAAACGTCGCCATTAAACGCATAAAACAAAATTTTTTGTTTAAAGTTTTGGTAAATGTAATAACATAAAAATATGCAAATTCCAAACATTACATTTGTTATGTATATTTTTACTAATCTAACTTAATCTACTAATATGTGTGTGTGATACTCTTAAAGTCACTACAAGCTATTAAAAATTATTTCTAATTCCCTGGACTCTTCTAAGCCAGAGCATCACAGTTTAAAAGGTTTTCCACCACAGTTATTTTCCATTTTCTATTACTGTTATGTTTCTATTAACATCTTGTGAGTTACTTAAAACATTACATTTGTTATGTATATTTTTACTAATCTAACTTAATCTACTAATATGTGTGTGTGATACTCTTAAAGTCACTACAAGCTATTAAAAATTATTTCTAATTCCCTGGACTCTTCTAAGCCAGAGCATCACAGTTTAAAAGGTTTTCCACCAGTTATTTTCCATGTTCTATTACTGTTATGTTTCTATTAACATCTTGTGAGTTACTTATTCTATTACCTTATCTCATCTATTAAATATTATTTTTATTAAGCTAAATTTTAAAGTATTTGAGTAATTCACCTCTCGCTTCTTAGAACAGTACTAAACCAGCAATCTATTAGGAAAATATTAAGTCAAACGAGGAGAAATCTGAAGGACTGAATGTTTAGTTTTGTGGGTTGATAAAACACTTAAATTTAAAAAATAAACTGAAAAAGACCGATAAAAAAAGGTTGGTGCAATTTATTTTTCAACACTGATATTAGTACAAGCATGGAATATTAAAGCTAGGTAAACAGACTATGCAAAATATCAAAAGATATTAAAACAAAACCTGTCTTGTCAATCATCAGTTCAGGAAAACATTCTATATCTACATACATCATTAGCATTTCATTTAGCACCAAAAGACATCAGGGTTTTGAAAAACCCATTCAACGGGGAAAAAAAAGAAGAAGAGGTATTAAGGGCAATTTCAAGGGTACAAATATATAGTATATTCTGTTCACAAAGAATGGAATAAAAATAATCAAGAGTGACCTTAAAGATCACGGTCCTACAAGGCCTGCTGGTGTTGAGAAGACCTGAGGGAGTTATTCCTTATGACGCAATACTGCACCTCTGAATTACACATGGACCATCATTTTACAATAACATGTAACACAGCACCAACACGGGTCTTACTGGGAATTTCTAAAGCTTTGCTACAAGACATACACATCCAAAAGGCATCAAGACATACATAATCCAGTTATTGATCTTTCACCAAAGCACACACACCTCAAGCTGGCCCATGCCTAACAAAAAATTGGTTTAAACAAGCTTAGTTTAAGTCACTTGGTATCATGTTTAAGAAAACTTCCAAAAGCTGACTTTTAACTAGGGTGACCGTACGCTGCCTTTTTCCACAAACATGTCCTGGCCGGGATTTCTAAATTGCCTAAAATGTCCAGGTTTTGTATTTTCCTACTGTTTTTGTACTTGCTGAAGGTAATGACTGAAAAGAAATCAGACCAATAGCACGCAGGCATTGCACATAATCGATTAGTCGTGGCGTACAAGAAGCAGGGATCTACGGAGTATGGTCAAAACAATGCAAATACGTGTACATAAAATGCATGAGGACTACAGACAACATGTCAATAGGAAAACAAAGCCAAAGCCTGGACAATTTAGAAACCCAGCGAGAATATGTCCAGGAAAAAGAGGATGTATGGTCACCCTAGATTTGACCTGTGACAAAGTCAAAACCACAAATCACCATGATCTGCATAATGCTGAAAACACACATGCTAAACAACTACAAAGAAAACACTATTTATACACACATTATGAAGCACCTAATTTCACACTGACAGTGGACCACAATTGATAACGAAATGTATTCGGAGACATTTCAAATGTAAGATACAATTTGGTCACTTGCACTAGACAAATGCAAAGTAGCCAAAATTCTTCCCTTTAAAGTCATCTAAGGTCATGCCAGTTACAATCAGCTCAACATTTTTTTTTTCTACATAAAAATTTAGCATATCAATGTGTAGGCACTTATTCAGTTTAAGCCCTTGATCACACTGCACCATGTTGTACAAAAAGGCTTCAAAGTTAACACAGTGACTTAGATATTGTGGTATGCTAAATCCTCACCAAAAACAGCACAAATCAGTGCTGCAGTGGCCAGTTTCAGCCAACAGGATCAAATCAGAAGTGCGTACGGGTAACAAATCGGGCAAAATGGAAAAAATCATTAATCCTAAGGGTTGATGACCTGTCTGTTGTAAAATGATGACAGTATGGTCTAAAATGCTAGCTCAAGGCAAAAAAGTAGTCTTAAAACGGCAATGTCACTCTGCAAAATAAAAATATTTCAAAAAATAATCAAGGTTACCTTTTTTAAAAAAAAAAAAAGGAAAAGCTTAAGAAGGCTACTGTCAACTCACATCTATCAATTATTAACATATAATGGCACAGACAACATTTGTGCTTCTAAATACATGGAGCACTACAAGATTGCATGTATTCCTACAAACAAAACGCTGTTTAATTGAAACCCAAGTCATCTCCGGTGTACTGTATATTAACACTCTTTTCCATTAAATAGATGCTGCTAAATAGGAAAACATTTAAGTGTTGACTTAGTACAGTTATTATGATGACCAGACATTCTGTATTACAAAACAGCACCATGGAATGACAACATTACCAACATTCATCTTTCATCATCATTTTAAAAATTATGAAACTATGCAATATTTATCAACAGGACATATTTATTCCTAAACAAGGAAAATATTTAATGTAAAAATGTGATATAAAAAGCTGACAAAAGGTTAAAACTGATAAACTAAACCAAATTAACATTATGCCTATTTATAATTTAATGAATAAGTTAAAGCAGCATTCCTCCAGACAATGAACCAATCATAGAATGGCACCGAGGTAGTGGATGGAGTATCGTGTGGCTCTCTCCAGCATTAAAATGACTTTAAAAGTATACAAGTTAAAATGCTTTCTGAACGTTTAGAACAAATGCAATATTCAAATTGGAAAATATTCTGTGAAGTCAGAATCTGCAGGGGGAAAAAAATCATCAATTTCATATATCTGAGAGACTCGATTTGGACCTCCAGTGCCAGTGCTGCCTGGACCAGACGGTGGTTTTACTCGCAAGCAAAGTAATCCTTTAGCGGGGCAAAGAGGTGTCGGATCACGGGAACGCTCCAGGACCGCCCAAGCAACTTCTGCCTCTGTCCCCGCCCCATATTATTCACATCTGTGTAATGCTTTGGGAACCCAAATATTCTGAGTGCACAAAAAAAAAAAAAATCAGTCATTTTGTTAAGAGCCACATGTATGCCGCACTGAATTGCTGTATGCAAACCTGATAAGGCAAAACTTTGAGTAAAATTCAGTTAATATAAATATATCTGACCTCTCCATTTCAGTGCACCAAAGATAGTCCTCTTTTCCATTCATGGTGACTGGCAGAGGTCCCATCTTCCCTTGTTTGATGGAATTGGACTTGGTGGTGATCGTGCGAACTTTGTTGAACTGATGATATAGTAATGACAGAGTTGTTATTTTTATTAAAAAGAAAGAAATAAGACGTAATTGGTTTTGACATTCTAACAATTAACTTAGTTGAGCCTAGACTCCTGGCACTAATATGTATACTTCCTAGGACTAATGTAAACTAAAACTACAAATTAAAATGTATATTTGTGGATTTCTTTGATTTAATGCACAAAATATCAACTTTTCAGTCAGAAGGCATAATAAACATGTTTACCATTGCAGTTCGTCCGACCTCCAGGCAGTCCTGCAGATCTGCTTTATCAGCGAGTGAAGTAGCAAGTGGTCTACAAACACAAAATCAAGTTTTCAGTCACATTAATTTGTGAATGCACCCATCTATTACTGAACATGCATACATTTCCATAAAGTTGCGCTTTATGTTTACAGATATGTGTAATTGATTGTGTGTGTGTGCCTGCATTTATACCGGTTCATTCCAGGTAAATTTCCCCAGAAGTAACGGGCCCTGTGGGCTGGGCTTACTTTCACAGCATCAATCATCACAGGATTACACTGGAAACAGATAAATGCATGATAATTCATAACCATCTTCAACAACGACACCAATAATATGCTAAACACCTCTGGTAAATGGCATGTCTAAAGGTGCGTTCACATTTAGTGTTGTTTGGCCATTTTTCGCAGACAAAGTCCAGCCATTTTAATAGGAATCCAAGCAATATGGAATATCTTGTGAGGGCAAAAGATTTTTCCATGCAAATTTTGCATCAGGTTCAAGTTCAACCAGAATGTTGATTGGTTTGAACATGACTTCTGTTCTGTATGAGATGTGCTTCATACATCACTACACTGGACATTTTTGCACGTTAATATTTGCAAAAATTTCACTAATGTTGACCACATCTCTAGCCTGGTGGAGAAAAAGGAAAAAGTATTTTTTACCTCCAGGAAACGACAGATATCAGCCTTGTCGTGGGCACTCATGGCTACTACATTCTCAAAGAGCCAGAAAAAGGGGCGATCATCATCCTCTTTTGGCCTCATCATGGTTAACATGCGGTAATATTCAAAGAACAGTCGACCTGTGCCTTCTGAAAGGAGATGAGAAATTGAAATTGAACCTTTTTAAAAATGGAGTTATATAAATAACTTCTAATACTAAAGACCATGCTCAGATCAACCTAAATTTCACAATTTTTTGCATGTACAAATATCTTACCAAAAAGACCTTTTCTGGCTGGATTCACCATGGACAGGTCATTACAGGGACTTCCACCAATCAGGAGGTCAAAGGGCCCCCACTCGGCCAGCTACAAAATGGTATGACAAAAGAGAACTTTAAAGTGTTCTTTCTACAGTGACTTCCCCTTGTTCTTATGGATATGAGTAAGACCATATAAAAATAGCAATGTTTAGCTATTAAATCTGGTTAACTGTTCAAATCCTTATGCTAGTTGAAGAATGTCTGTGAAGAATGTGAATGATGATATTCTATAAATAAATATTTTCTGCGATAATGCTCTATACGTACATGTTTCCTTGTGATGGTGCGCACATCTTTTACATATTCAATCAGGCCCTCATGTTTAATCATTCCAACAGCAATGGAGTCTTCACAGATCTCAGAGGCAATGTAGCGCTCCACCTTAAAACCCAGGTCTTTTAAAACCAGATAGCCTGCAAAAAGATAAGAATAAAATATTAAAATGAATAGTTCAGCCAAAAACTCCTTGTCATCTTGTTACATATCTGTATGACTTACTTTCTTCTGTGGAACACAAAAATGAATTGTTGAAGACTAACCTGACATCATGAAACATTCATTTTTTTGGTGGAAATATTCCTTTAATATTAAAGCAAAACAAGTGAACACACCTGTTGCAATCCCATCAAACAGGGAGAGGACTCTGATTGGACGACGCTGATGAGCTGGAATTGAAGGATACACTCTGTGTGGCTCCTAAAATAAGGACAAAAACAGTGTTCTTCATATTAAAACATCATTCTGGTTTTCCATATTTCCATAATCACCATATTATAAAGATTTTTGAAAGATCATGTGACACTGATAACTAGTCTAATACAGCTTTGTCATCAAAGGAATTACATTTTAAAATATATTCAAATAGAAAAGTTATTTTGAAATGCAATAGGATTATTTCACAATATTATTGTTTTTACTGTATTTTTGATTCAATAAATGCAGCCTTGGTGAGCATAAGAGACTTTAAGAGACTTAATTTTTTTTTTTAAAGTCCTACAAATGCCAAACTTTTGAATGGTAGTGTATATTAAAATGGTGATGCAAATAGCAAAACTTGAATATGACTAGTTGGATAACTAACACAAGGAGGATAAGAATGACACTCACAAATTCAAAGGCACTGTTATTGGCGAAATACTCCTGGACACGAACTCTCCAGTCAGACCTGAGCTTGAGCACGCCGTAGCACTTAGAGGGCAGGCAAATATAACAGCTCCATGGGTCAACATCCTTCAGCTTATCGAACGTCCCTGGTCCCACCAACACATTCAAACAGTCTTTACAGAAACACCTGAACAGAGTGAAAAAAAGAGAAAGACGGTGAAACAATCTGTTATGATGGTTAACATGGCATTAAGGTTTAAGTTTGCGTAAGTTTGAGTTTAAACCTGCAGCAGCTGGCGTTTCCACAAAGAATGACCTCTTGTCCAGCACAGCAGATGGTGCAGTATGACTGATAGCCATCATCATCATACCTGTACAGCGTCTCTGTAAAGTTCTCCTACACAAGCACACAAAAAAAATGTCATTCCGGCCAGCAAATAGTAAGTAGCTTACTAATTTTATGATTCCGCACTAAACAGATAAGACACAAGAATCGATTCATACCTTGCACTTCAAACAAAGGCTTCCCTTAAAAAGAGGATGGAACATTTCAATGTTGCCAGTTCCACAGGACAGGCAGAAATCTGGGTAAAGAACAATGAGAACAGACATTCTGTATGATTATCTTGTAATGAATTAAAATACACGACTGAGCAATAAGTATGTCCTAAAGGCAAAAATAAGTTGTTAAAAATAAAGTGAAAGGTGTGATTGCTTGTAGTGACAGCTGAGAAAATATTGTCAGTGCAAGTATAAATTTAATCTGAAGTGTTTTTCCAGACAGGGATTTCAGGCCATAATTTTACAATTTCCTCATATAACCAGGTTTTCTGATTGGCCCAGCAGGAAAAACAAGAATTTAAATTATTGTTGAGCCCTAGAATAGCTTCATTAATAAAATCAAATTATGAATTTGAGAAATTTTAAGTGACTTACCTTCAATGTTTCTGCCTTTAACGGTTACTTCATTGACCATTTGATCTGAGAAGAGGAAGACAAAACAGGTATGTTTTCTCACCAAAATTATGTAAATGCCTAAAAACACACTAATAATCTACAGTTCAGTATTTTATGAAATAAAAACATGATTTGTGCTCTTTATGGCAAAGTTCTGGCCTATACGTCGCTGATTGATCTAGAATTCACCTCTGGTGTAATCCTGAGTTGACTGTCTGTTCTTGTTGACGTACTTCCTCTTGGCTGGAGGCTGATAATCAGACACAGAGGAATCAGACTCAGTTTTATTACTGGTAGAGCTGTCTGTGAAATGGAAAAAGCAGAAGGCACTGTTGTTAAATCAACCTAGATCAAGATTTTGCTTATTAGAGCACTTTCACTGTTGTTTGACATTTCCGTGTATTTTTCGGATCAAATCACAAAACTGAAGTCAGTTGTCAACTCTTGTAGTCTTTGTTATTTTCAACTTTCAAAACTGCTGTCAATCACCAACTGTTTTTGCAATTACAGATTATTGTTTGTTTTTTTACATACCCACAAGAGGCAAAAAGCCATCAGGACCCATGGGCTGGAAGCCTCCAAATGCCCAATCCAGCATAGCCTTCACCTCTTCCCCTTTCTTCTCAGAGGGGGGGAAAGTCTTCCCACAACGCTCCGCTGCCAACTACACAAGGACACAACAATATAGTGCAATACTAGAATATTTTTATTCATAAGAACTGGTTCTCGATCCCCAATCCTAGTTTTCAAAAGAATCGTTAAATAATTATCTTTCCACTGTACCTCTAGGATTTGGTAGATGGCATTCTTGTAGGTAGGCAGACCTTCATAGGATTTACTAAAAAAGCACTTTGCAAATGCAGCGAAGGGCAGCAGTCCCTCTGTATGAATCTAAGATCAACAAGAGAACATACTGGTAAAAAATGTATAGCCTGAATGCACTGTAAGTCGCTTTGGATAAAAGCGTCTGCTAAATGCATAAATAAATAAATAAATAAATAAATAAATAAGAGAAACATGCTTCAACATGAAACAGGTCCTTGGAAGAATAAGGGGAAAAGTATCTCTCAGATGAGAATCAGGAGAAAGCAAGCAAGTAAACACTCCTAACCTCTGAAAACATGCCATCTCCAAACCACTCCACGCGCCTCATAGAGACAGGAAGCATCCTGCCCTTCCATGCCACCACCAGTCCAGGCCACCAAGAGAAGCCCTTTACTTTTCCCCACACAAGCTCTCCAATGGCATAACCTTTTCCATCCTGCACAGAGAGAAACAGGAAGTCAATATTACAAATGACATTCATAACACGGATGTCTTATTCTATCAACAGAGAAGTGACTGTTCAAGCAGGATGAATATTACTTTTCAAAGGTCAGAGCAACCCAAAGTAAATCAAAATAATATTACTCAAATGTATAATATTCATAATATTCACCTAAAGATGAAAACATGCTGAAAATTTACTCACATTTTTGGGTCAAATATTACTAAAAGTCTTCGCATTACAGAAAGCCTTCACAGAGAATGTTCAGCATGCTGTATGCATATATAATAATGCCTGCTAAATGAATCAATGCAAATCATATGAAACACATCTGAAGTTTACTTAGCATGGGTACTGGACTAAAGTAACAGTCGTGTTTGCGGTGAGATTAAAGAAAGGTTTAGAAACCTTCCAGACTTACATGGTACGGTTGTTCTCTCTTTCCAGGTCTGGGGCTCAGGGTCGAACTTGATGCAGATGAACAAGCATTGTTCTTAACCTTCAATTAGTAGATCAGATACATCAGTGAGAAACAAACATACACAAAGGAAGAATACATAATCTAAAGTGAGTGGTTAAACATTTCATGTGAAAACCACACGCATAATGCACAGTTTTAATGAAGTCCCCTGCTGATCTGTCTTTGCCAGCTTTCACAATGCTAACTATTGAGAAAGTCTTGTTGAAGCTTAAAGTGATTAACTTTATTATTACTCATCATGAATAGATGTGTATTTTTTTATACACAAGCATTTTTATCTTTGTTTATGTATGTTAGAATATCAGTACAGCATGCATGACACTGCACACAATGAATTTCAATTTATTTGTAAAGCACTTTTCACAATATATATCGCTTCAAAGCAACATAATAAAAAAAAACATCATGGAGAAGCAGATGTTTGCAAGGCAATTACAGAGGAAAAACAGACATGGACACATAGCTACAGGAGGAACATAAGATGAAGATGAAGATTCCAGAGACTAATCTACCATCCGGAAAGGAAACCACAGGACTCATGCACACATTTATAAAGTGGCATCCATCGCTTATGAAAACAGCTCAATGTAATACAGAGAGCGTGAATGGGACAAAACTGAGGCGGACCCTCTACATCTGCAATAAACCAGACAGAGCACTGAATCTTAACCTGGGCAGGTACATACCGCCTCTGGTTTGCTGTTCTTGTCTGGGTTCACCGGTTTGCTCCAGGTGCCTGTACCAGCCTGAAAGACTGTACGTTCCTGTGGTTTCTGCCGTAAGCTGCTCTCCCAACCGTATATTCCCCTAATGGAGCCCTATAGACCCATACATATGCACACAAATTACACACATGTACGCTGTCACTCAGGTCACATGACTCCTATGGTGAAGTAATCAGTATCAGGGTGCCAAAGTACAGATATGTAGAATAGGAAAGAAAGATGTTAAATCGAGACGTTAGTGTGATGATATGGTTGGTCTGTGTGTGTGTGCAGGTGATTTTTTTCCTGATAACTGGAGTTGATCTAATCAGTCTTAGGGTGTATTCACACCAGGAAAGTCCGCTAGTTCACTTGCTTTGGTCCGAACCAAATACAATGTTGATTTTTTTTTGTTTGGTTCGGTTAGCTTTCACACTGCCCTTTTTGCAAGTGAACCAGAAATTGTAAACAAAACCACATGTGTGCTAAGGTCATCCATTCATTGGACAGAAACTCTCAAGCGTACCAGAGTTTGTTTGGAAGCGGACCGAGACCACCTCTTCAGCTGGGTCTCGGTGCGGTTGTTTGGTCCGCACCAGAGTGCGATTGCTGTATTCACACCGGTCTTGTTTGGTTCGACTGAATCAAACTCAAGTTCGTTTCCCCCTTTGGTGCGGATCTTTTGGGCGGGCGTGAATACAGCAATCGCACTCGGGTGCGGAGCAAACAACCGTACCAAGACCCAGCTGAAGAGGAGGTCTCGATCCGCTTCCAAACGAACTCGGTACAGTTGAATGGATGAACCAATGAATGGATGACCTTAAGCACACGTGTGGTTCCCTCTCGAGAACGGTCTCTCGACATGGCGTTAACGCCTTGGGGACTCCCTTCCTTCCTAACCTACCTGAAATCTTATTGCACAACGCCAGTGAAGTTGCAACTCTCTCTGGCCAATGCCAGCCAAGACGGCGAATAGGGGCGGGGCCCCCGCCACTATATAATGCACCGTATTGGCGGCATAAGCTCAGAATCTTCCTCTTTCACACATCCTATCGAAGACAGCTGTGGAGAAAACGCAGAAAGAAGGATTTCCGTCTCGGCGTTCCAGCATGTCCAACGTTTGCACGCTGTGTTTGGGACCCATCGAGGCCCCGGACACTCACGAGTTCTGCATCAGGTGCCTGGGTCTCGCCCATGCGGAGGCAGCACTCACCGGGTCGGGCTGCCCGCACTGCGAGGAATTCTCAGTGCGAGTGCTTAGGGCCCGGAGGAACATCGCCCTCGGGGATTTCTCTCGGCAACGTCCCACCGCCGCCAGCGAGCCGCAGGTGGGACGACAGCCGCACGTGGGCGACCGCGCAGAAAGGCGCAGTTCACCCCCCTGCTCTCCGGTGTGCTTGGCAGAAGAGAGTCTTCAACCCGCCTCTGGAGCTTTGGAGATTATCTCGTTCGGTGCGGCGGGGGACGACGACGATCTTGACAAGGCGATGTCCCTAATGGCGTCCGAGAAGACTGGGCCCGCACTCCAGAGGATCGCTCTGAAGTGGAGGGACACACTGCGTTCCAGGATGAGCTCGTCCGGATTCTTACCAGGGCCGTGAGCAATCTTGGTCTAGAGTGGGAATCCCCCGACGAACCAGCTAAGAGCAACCTGGATTCGTGGTTCCTTCACTCGGGCCGCCGAGCAGCCGCTCCGAGGAAGCGAACCCCATTCCTCCCCGACTTGCACGACGAGGTCGCTAAGGAGTGGGCTGCACCCCAATCGGCTCGCACTCACGCTGGCGGGTCGGAGATCTTCACTAAAGTCGAGGAATCCATCACCGCGCACCTCTACCCCTCCTCTGCTTCCCTGAAGACGGGTGCTACGCTGCCATCAAGGCCCTGCCGTCTGACCGCACACGTTGCGGACAAAGCGTACGCCGCCTCGGGAGAAGTGATCTCAGCGCTGCACACGATGGCAGTGCTCCAAGTTTTTCAGGCACAGCTCCTGAAATCCCTGGACGAGGGTGGGTCTGATCCCGAGGCCCCGGATTTTGCACTTAAAGCCACAAAGAAGACGGCCCAGGCGATCGGACGGAGCATGGGCTACATGGTGGTGCTCCACCGGCATCTGTGGCTGACACTCAGCGCAGCCCTCTGCACATAGTAGATCCTCATCTGCTTCCAACCGGCCGTCGAAGTGGCCCCCCTCTGCTTCAGCTTCATCTGCTTCAGCTTCATCAGACCCAGAGCCGTCTGTTCGCGCCAAAACTCTGTGGCAGAGGACACCGAAGGGGCATCACGGCTTCAAGAAAGGCGGCTGTCCCAGCCGAACAGAAGCCTCACTCCTGACGGGAGGGTGCAGAGGAGGAGAGCGCCGAGCGGCGAGCCCGCCGCGAAGCGTTTGAGATGTTCTCGCGAAGTCCCCTTGGCTGTTGTAGGCAACTACAAGAATGTCTGTGTTGTGTATGTTCAAAATGCAATAAAGTTTGTGACACCCTCACAAAAAGAGCTTTTTTCTCCTCCTCCAGTGATAGCAGATTCACACACGGCCGTGAAACCGCCGATAGAGTCAGGCTTGCAGCTTCCTCGTGTATCTGGCGAGGCTCACGCCCCTGTGGCCGGTGTCAGACCCCTCGCTCTCGACACCTCGCACATACGCACGTCCATATCGCTCAAACATTCAGCAGAAGGCTCACCGCTCCCCGTTGATCGGCGAGGCACGACCCTCGCTAACATACAGCGCTCCCACTCGTCCCGTGAGCTTTCTGAATACGACCCCGGCATACAGTGGCGTTGTTCAGAATTCAGAGGACGAGGCGCACCACCCTCTGTGTCTTTTTGCGAGCGCATGGCGGTCTATTCCGGGCATTTCGTATTGGTTGCAGAACATTATAGAGAACGGCTACACGCTTCAGTTTTGGCGCAGACCACCCCGGTTCAATGGCGTGGTAATGTCGACAGTTCCGGCACACAACGTGCCAGTGCTGAGGCAAGAAATTCTCAATCTCCTCGCGAAACGCGCGATCGAAGTGGTCCCACCGAGCGAGAGAGAGAGCGGGTTTTACAGCCCATACTTTGTCGTTTCAAAGAAAGATGGTGGTCTCCGTCCAACTTTAGACCTGTGACCCATCAACCGTGCATTATACAAACGCGCTTTCCAAATGACAACGCTAAAGCCTATACTCGCGCAGATTCGACCCAGAGATTGGTTTGCTTCGGTGGACCTGAAAGACGCATATTTTCATATCCAGATCGTCCCTCGTCACAGGCGCTTTCTGAGATTTGCGTTTGAAGGTATAGCGTATCAGTTCACGGTGATGCCATTCGGGCTAGCACTGGCGCCACGTACATTTACGAAATGTGTGGATACAGCACTTTCCCCTCTGAGAGCGAGTGGAATACGCATATTGAATTATTTGGACGATTGGCTGCTCTTGGCCCATTCGGAGGATGTGCTTAACAGCCCCAAACGCGCTCTGTTACTTCACCTGGAGAGGTTAGGTCTCAAAAGAGCTTTTTTCTCCTCCTCCAGTGATAGCAGATTCACACACGGCCGTGAAACCGCCGATAGAGTCAGGCTTGCAGCTTCCTCGTGTATCTGGCGAGGCTCACGCCCCTGTGGCCGGTGTCAGACCCCTCGCTCTCGACACCTCGCACATACGCACGTCCATATCGCTCAAACATTCAGCAGAAGGCTCACCGCTCCCCGTTGATCGGCGAGGCACGACCCTCGCTAACATACAGCGCTCCCACTCGTCCCGTGAGCTTTCTGAATACGACCCCAGTATACAGCGGCGTTGTTCAGAATTCAGAGGACGAGGCGCACCACCCTCTGTGTCTTTTTGCGAGCGCATGGCGGTCTATTCCGGGCATTTCGTATTGGTTGCAGAACATTATAGAGAACGGCTACACGCTTCAGTTTTGGCGCAGACCACCCCGGTTCAATGGCGTGGTAATGTCGACAGTTCCGGCACACAACGTGCCAGTGCTGAGGCAAGAAATTCTCAATCTCCTCGCGAAACGCGCGATCGAAGTGGTCCCACCGAGCGAGAGAGAGAGCGGGTTTTACAGCCCATACTTTGTCGTTTCAAAGAAAGATGGTGGTCTCCGTCCAACTTTAGACCTGTGACCCATCAACCGTGCATTATACAAACGCGCTTTCCAAATGACAACGCTAAAGCCTATACTCGCGCAGATTCGACCCAGAGATTGGTTTGCTTCGGTGGACCTGAAAGACGCATATTTTCATATCCAGATCGTCCCTCGTCACAGGCGCTTTCTGAGATTTGCGTTTGAAGGTATAGCGTATCAGTTCACGGTGATGCCATTCGGGCTAGCACTGGCGCCACGTACATTTACGAAATGTGTGGATACAGCACTTTCCCCTCTGAGAGCGAGTGGAATACGCATATTGAATTATTTGGACGATTGGCTGCTCTTGGCCCATTCGGAGGATGTGCTTAACAGCCCCAAACGCGCTCTGTTACTTCACCTGGAGAGGTTAGGTCTCTGTGTGAACAAACAGAAAAGCGTGTTATGCCCCAGCCAGTCAATCATGTATCTGGGGGTGCAGTTGGACTCAATCTCGATGAGAGCGCGTCTGAGCCAGGAGCGCATACTAGCTTCCTCACGCAAGTCCGTGTTGATTCGCACGGACAATGTCGGTGGTATCGTACATAAACCGCCAGGGCGGAGTACACTCGAGAGCCCTTTACAGACAGGCAGCACGCCTTTTGCTGTGGGCCGATCACCATCTGCTCTCCATTCGAGCAGCGCATGTTCCGGGCTGCCTGAACAGCAGCACGGATATGCTATCGAGGGACGGGATTCTTCACGGAGAATGGAGACTGAAACCTGGGACAGTGAGGCTGATCTGGGAACGGTTCGGGAAAGCGGAGGTAGACTTGTTCGCGACAGAGGAGAACACGCATTGCCCTCTGTTCTTCTCTCTGTCACGCTCTTCCCTAGGCCGGAACGCACTCACGATGCCGTGGCCGAATGCCGTCTGTAAGCGTTCCCCCCGCTGAAGATTTTGTCGCAAGTGCTACACAAAATCAGAGAGGAGAAGGCGTCAGTGTTATTAGTTGCTCTGTACTGGCCAAACAGGCCCTGGTTTCCCGATCTGCTGGAAATACTAACAGCTCCCCCGTGGCCGATCCCGCTGAGACGGGATCTCCTGTCTCAGGCGGACAGCTCGGTATGGCACCCCAACCCAGAATGGTGGAAACTTCTGGTGTGCGGGAACCGGTAAACCCGGGCTCGTTGTCTCGCCGTGTGATGGTCACGATTACGGAGGCGCGAGCCCCTTCTACGAGACGCCTGTACGTTTGTAAATGGGCAGTGTTTAAGAGATGGTGTGAATCAAATGGTCAGGACCCGGGAAATTGCCCCGTGTCTGACATTCTGAATTTTTTGTAACAACGAATGGACGGCGGCAGTATGCCCTCCACTCTTAAGGGTTATGTTGCAGCTATCTCTGCCTTTCACGCTGCTATTGACGGGCACTCAGTGGGAAAACACGATCTAGTGACCAGATTTCTGAGAGGCGCGAGAAGACTGGGATCTGGCTCTGGTGCTGGGGGCGCTAGCCCTTCCGCCCTTCGAGCCACTTCAGACTGTCGGCTTGAGGGAGCTCTCGCTTAAAACAACGCTGCTACTCGCCCTTGCTTCGGTCAAGCATGTGGGGGATTTGCATGCGCTCTCTGTGAATGTGGACTGCATGCAGTTTGGACCAGGTGATTGTAACGTCACGTTCAAGCCAAGATTGGGCTATGTGCCTAAATCGCGCTCGACACCATTCAGAGCGCAAGTGGTGGCTCTTTCTGCTTTCACTCCAGAGTCGCAGACTTCATTGGATGCAGCCCCGAATCAGGTGTTGTGTCCGGTGAGGGCTTTGCGAGTTTACATCGACCGCACGGCTCATTTTCGGCAATCTGAGCAGCTGTTTGTATGCTATGGAGGCAGCGCCAAAGGGCAGCCTGTCTCCAAACAACGGCTATCACATTGGGTGGTCGACGCTATTGCCTTGGCATATTCCAGCCGGGGAATGGAATGTCCTATTGGTGTCAGAGCCCATTTCAACGAGGGCGGTTGCCTCCTCGTGGGCGTGGACTAAGGGCATTTCGATCAAATATATTTGTATGGCGGCTGGATGGTCTTTGCAGAATACCTTCGCCAGATTCTACAATTTGGACGTGTGGTCATTAGCATCACAGGTCCTGTCAGTGAGTACGACCCATGGTTCTACCTGCAACCACTAAGCTGTTTGACTGTGCTGGTGGTTTCGACTAGGTCGTGTAGGGGGATCGGGGGCGGGACCATCGTCATGTTCAGACTGTGGCGCCCTGGATGCGGCCATTCTCTATGTGTGTTAGTATTGCGCCCGGCCTTGCCGCTCACATGCTTTGTTGCACAGTTATATGACATACTTGTATGCGTTTGACATGACTATAATGTCTTAGCTTTGTATGGCGACGGCGCTGCATCTTTCTCTCAATAAGAGACCTGCCATCTGACATGGATTTTGAGTAACCTGATTGGATCCCTAAGCGGGAATCTACATCCAATCCCCTCGAGGCACTCCAACCACAAGCTGTTTGACTGTGCTGGTGGTTTCGACTAGGTTGTGTAGGGGGATCCGGGGCGGGACCATCGTCATGTTCAGACTGTGGCGCCCTGGATGCGGCCATTCTCTATGTGTGTTAGTATTGTGCCCGGCCTTGCCGCTCACATGCTTTGTTGCACTGTTATATTACATACTTGTATGCATTTGACATGACTATAATGTCTTAGCTTTGTATGGCGACGGCGCTGCATCTTTCTCTCAATAAGAGACCTGCCATCTGACATGGATTTTGAGTAACCTGATTGGATCCCTAAGCGGGAATCTACATCCAATCCCCTCGAGGCATGTCGCAGGGTCGTATTTGAATGGTTGGGGATTATTTTTAGTGTCTTGCAAGAACTGTTCATGCTAGCTCCGCCGAGGCCGAGCCTTTTTACTTCGCTGCTTCCACGGTGTTGTTCTATACAGTCCCCAAGGCGTTAATGCCATGTCGAGAGACCGTTCTCGAGAGGGAACGTCTCCGGTTACTGTCGTAACCTCGGTTCCCTGAGAGACGGGAATGAGACATGGCGTAGGCCGCCGTGTTCACTGCTCAGGTCTGCTGTACTGTTGGTTCAGTCGGAAGATTCTGAGCTTATGCCACCAATACGGCGCATTATATAGTGGCGGGGGTCCTGCCCCTATTCACCGTCTTGGCTGACATTGGCCAGTGAGAGTTGCAACTTCACTGGCGTTGTGCAATAAGATTTCAGGTAGGTAAGAAAGGACGTTCCTGCCTCTCAGGGAACCGAGTTTACGACAGTAACCGGAGACGTTTTGTTTACAGTTACTGGTTCACTTGCAAAAAGGGCAGAGTGAAAGCGAACCGCACCAAACAAAAAAAAATCAACATTGTATTTGGTCCGGACCAAAGCAAGTGAACTAGCGGACTTTCCTGGTGTGAATACACCCTTAGTTTGCTTCATCATCTCGATACAATGTGAAATAGTATTCAGCAAAAGTATTCACTGCCAAAAGCCTGACCATTATACTGCTATAATTAGTTAAAGACTGATATGTTGACCAGGCCAGATTATTAGTATTGCCAATAACCATTTGTTCCTTTTATTCAGCAAGGGAACATTAAAGGGATCAAAAGTGTAAAGTGCAAATAAATTATGTTATTTTAGCTTTCTATCAAAGGATCCTGAAACAAATTGTATCACCAAAATATTGTGCAGCACAACTGTATTAGAAGAAGAACAACAATAAGAAGACAAGAAGAACAAGAACAAGAAGAAATGTTTCTTGAGCACCAAATCAGAATATTAGAATGATTTCTGGAGGATTGTGTGACACTGAAGAGTACAAGTAATGGCTACTGAAAATTCAGTTTTGAAATGACAAGAATAAATTACATTTTAAAAGTTATAAAAATAGAAAACAGTTATTTTAAATTGTAAGAATATTTCACAATATTACTTTTTTTGTTGTTGTTGCTAAAATACATGCAGCCTTAGTCAGCATAAGAGACTCCAAACTTCTGAACGATAGTGAATTTATACATATATACATACATACATAAACACAGTATCTCACAGAAGTGAGAACAGAATATTTTTGTAAATATTTTATTATATCTTTTCATGTGACAACACTGAAGAAATGACACTTTGCTACAATGTAAAGTAGTGAGTGTACAGCTTGTATAACAGTGTAAATTTTCTGTCCCCTCAAAATAACTCAACACACAGCCATT